GCAAGTGTCAGCTCTAAGGAGACATCTGCAAGATAAACGGAAAACTTCCCCTTCTTTGTCATCCTTGTACCAGCTATTTAGGCAAAGCCAGGGAAGTAGCATGGTTCTTTGTAATATGCTTTGTCAGCTAGGAGACACAAAGCTTTTTCAGACTACCATGAGGCACAAATTCTGAAAGTCTCTTTTTCTCCTATGAGCATCAGTCAGTTTAACTCACTGTCTCCAAGTCTTTAGTATCAAAGGGGACTCTAGTCACTGGTGCCTTCTTCCATTAGCACCTGATATTCAAAACTGAGGACGTTTGCAGATGTTTGAGTGCCTGTTTTGGCTCTTGTGATGATGACTGGGGAAAGGGAGATCTGTTCCCCTGAGGGAACAAGGGTACAAGCCACATGGGACAGGGTAGGAGTCCTGCTGCTTAGTGTGTTGTGATGTGTTGATAATCCTCCACAAGCAAGTTGAGAGGAAGTTCACTGGGAAAAGATGACTAGCCAGAACAAAAACTTGGCTTGAGGCATTACAGGTATATTTCAGTTATATATATCAGTGGTGAGTTTCATATTATCCAGCATGTAGAAGAGCACAGGAGACACAAAGCCTGCCTCAAGGAATTTATGATCCAGGAAGAAAAGAACGAAGCAGCAGTTAAAATATATAAAGCAAAACATGACCAGAAGTTGGCATCATAAAACAGAAGTGCAGATATTCTACTGTGGGTTTTATTTGGTGAATCTAGTATTTGTGAGTGCTTGTGGCTAACCATATAATCCACAACCCCTCTATCTCCAAATGAAACTTTGGGACAGTCAGTTTAAGGATGTGCACCATGATTAATAAAAAGAGTTCAGCTTTCAATGTAGGCTGCTACAGTACTGGCAGCCCACACATATGGTCATTGCAATGGCCTGGGGGCTGGTACCAGGCTGTTACGTTACCACTGGGGGAGCCCAGGGCATTTGTTTTTCCTGGTGGCCTAATTCAAATGCTATCTTATATACTTATATGCACAAGGTAGAGTTTCATAGTTACTCCTTTTGGGAAGTATCTTCTTCTGTATCTCTGCATACTTTGCTAAACAGTGTAAGGGAACTTGAAGCTACCTTACTGGGTAAACTTTGGAAATGTAATTAAGTAGTAAACTAAGAACCTGTGTATTATGCTGTGTAAATTTGCATTCGTGAAGCACAGTAGGAAAATAATGCCAGCAGCTTCCATTTCTAGACAAATGAATGTAATCTTGGTGTTTTGGGGTTTCTATAACAAGCTGAAGAGAATAAGAATAAATTAAGCAGGCCCACCCTGCGTATACAGAAATGATGTTTTTTCTGCTAACATTCAATTTCCACATCTGGGACAATACAGAAAATAAAATATTGTGTAAGGAAACAAATCTGTTGCTGAATCAGAATGGGCCTTTACTGCCTGAATGACAATCAGTTGACATTCAATTATGATGTTAATTGAATTAAAGCAGGCTAGAAATTACTTAATTCCATAAGTATATGTTCCTGTCAAGTTGCTTGTTTAATAATTGTTGCTTGCTTGACAAAGGAGGGGAAAATGACCTTATAAGAGATTTCTGAGATGATAAAAATAACATTAAATATTGCCACTATACACTATGGATAAGCAACAGAACAGAAGCCTGCTTCTTGTTACAGGAAAAATGTTAAATGTATTATTGGAAATGATGTGTTTCATAATTTGGCACCGTCTTAAGCATGAAACTCAGAAGAGCTTCAGCCATTATCTAGAGCACACTTGAATGATGACACAAGCCTTTTTCCTCCCCAGAAGTGCTGCAAGGATGCAATTCTGTTATACTTACTACCACACAAAACTATTTAAGCCTGAGGGCTAAAAATTCCCACAGCTGAAAAAAAAAAAAAAAAAAAAAAGAGGTTGGGAGGGGCAGCTGACTTGCTTATACCTGTTTGAGGTGCTGCTACAAATGCTGAGTTCGCTCCCCACTTGCCCTTCCTTCATAAGCCCCCAGTACAAGTTCAGTCTAGCACAAAGTCAGCACAAAGTACCCACTGCCAGGCCCGCATTCATTTGCCTTCAGAGAAAAATATTGACAGCCAGACCTTGTTGTTACTTGTGAAAATTAACAAGTCCCCAGACAGGCAGAACTTACCCTGATTTTTAGTATAAGCCAGGACTAATGAGAATTTCCAAAACTAGGATGAGGATCATCACCACACTTGTATGCTGACCTAAACGGTGGGCATCTTCAAAAGGACAACAGCATACAGACAGTGAGAGCTCAAGCTGTTGTCCTCAGAGGACATGCCCATGCCCTTACAAGGATGAAGCAGGGTGAGCTGACCACCCTCCAGACAAGCCAGTCTGTGGGGACCGTCCTGGCCAATGCAAAATATGAAAGCAGGCTGGGGTCATCAAAAACCTTTCCCCATCCATTAAGGACTTTTTTATTCTAATGACCTTCTATTACATGGTTAATGTTTATATTACCATGGAAGACATGGTGCTCATGTGACTATTATTGGCTCACCAGAAGACCCAAGAAAAGAGGGCAAGACAATGTCTACACTGAATATGGTAGAAGTATAGGTAGGAAATAGTTAAGTAACGGCTGCATGATGATGTTCCTATGAAGTAGTGATGTTTTAGATGGAGATTTAGAGAATTGTTGTTAGCTTCATATTACTGCGTTAACCTTGTGCAATGTGACTATTTGAGGGAAAAGTCAGGTCCCAGAGGACTCTTTCAATATGCTGTGACTGTAAGAGCACAGCAGGAGTGTATATTTTTTATATTTGTGTAATGCAAAATAAAACCCAATGTGGAAGCAGTAGATACATGATCTTTTGAAGATCATTATTCTGTGTAAAATTCTTTGTTCAGCTCTGTTTTTTAAACTGGCTATCGGAATGATGCAGAGACATTGCAATATACAAAGCGGTATAACTTAGTCTTTGTTCTGTAGGTCAAGCTAAATTCATTTTAGCAGCTAGGAACAGATTGTTGACTAATTTTTTATTCATTTCCAAAACAAACAGTACATTTCCCTAATAATCACAAGCGGTTACAACTTAAAAAGCAAATTGCTACCATTTTTTTTTTGCAAAACAATAGGGGATCAGCCAACACTATATATTTATCGTAATCTGGAGAAATTACAAGGGCACACAGATACAGTTGCACAGCTAAACCAAATATTTTTTCCTCTCTGTCTTTATATTTACAATTTTAGAAGCCTAAGACTTCTCTGTTTCCATTATGATCTTTTGCTTCCCTGGGAAGCAAAATCTTTAATCCTTTTAGGCAGCCCCTGAGTTTTGCCAGCCCCTATCTGTGGTTTGTTCTGTCTCTGAAAGCAAAGCCTCAGTGAAACAAAAAAATGTTTCACGAGCACATTCTCTATAAAAATGGTGTTGTACTGGATCCTTCCAGCCTGACACTACCACTCTCACTTTGTAGTCTGCACCTGTATCGTCCTCTGTGTGCGCACTCTGTGCTGCCAAGTCCTCTCCATTACGGGACTGCTGGTTTTACTAGAGTATTGGAAGATCAAAAGAGATCACTTTAAAGTTTCATAAAGTTTATTCTTCTGGGGAGGAGATGTATGTGTGTGTTTTTCAGCTGTGGAATTCAGGAGAACACCCCAAAATTGTCATAAATAGTTTTGCCCATCTTTTACCTTTGAATCAATAGCCCAGTTAACTAGGCGGTGTGGAGTGGTCGGGGGAAGGTGGATAGTCTTTACTCTCTTCATGGAGGCTTTCCGCAGCTGCCAAGGTTGTGCACTTGACTGGAGAAGTGGACAGCAGAAACTGAAAGCTGCAGTTCCTTTTCGTGTAATATTGTGAATCCCAAATGCCCATGAACACATGAATTAATCTCTGCCCTGGGCATGTGACTTAAAAATTGTGAAATATAACAGCAATAAAAAAAGTAAATTTACTTGCCCTTTATTTGTCTCTCTTACTTTTAAACCTTCCATTGGGATTTTTTTTATGGTTTTCCCTGCAACATGGAAAGCTAAGAGTCAATCCTGCTTAGTTACGTGAAGCCAAGATGCTTGCATGGCTCCTAAGTCTACCCTTTTAGAAAAAAAAAAAAAACAAAACCAAAACATGAAGCAGTGAGAAACTCATTATAATATTTGCAAAGAGAAATGCTGACTTGTTCCCAAATTTGTCACTGACATGGCTAACAGCAAGTCATTAGCTAGGCTGCGCGGGTCAGAAACTGGTTCTCCTCCTGAAAACTTTCAACCCTAAATATCTACATACACTTTTCTAACTGTAGTGCTATGGGGTCCTGCCTAACCCTGCAGATAATCTTTGATCTTGAAGTTTGGGCAAAATTGAAGTGATTCTCCAAGCTCTTTAATCTATTATGAGATTGTGCACATACCGCATTTAAAATAATTTGGTGAGTTGAGAGAAATGTACAGAAATAGATCCATGCTCCTGAGAAGTTAATTAGACTGATATGGGATCAAGACTGGAATAATGACTAACATGATTTATTATCCTTAGCAGCTCCTTTTGAAGCTTCTTTGACTGCCCCCAACAGTTTATCCAGGGAAGAGAGAAAGCCTCTTGGCTGATCTGTGTGGTGCCATCATCTCCTCCTTCATTTAGCTCAAATGTCTTTCTGCACATTCTCATCTGCCCCAGAGGGTTGTAACTCGTCTCACAAGTGGAAGCCAGTAGAGAGGCCCACGTCTGCCTTCCTCCATCCCTAAAGGTCCCATTTGCAAGTACACCCCACACTTCACTTTGAACAATTAAACCTGAGATGCTATGAGGGATATTGCTTTTTCAGTACTGCTGGGTAGTTAAAAGGTGTTTCACAGTTGGAAAAATATTTTCTTTACAATATTTGATGTTTATTATTTCACTCTTTAAACAATATGAGGAGGAAAGGCTGTTTACTTAGAAAGACTTTATCAAGATGCATGAGACACACAAGTGATATATAAAAACAAAACCAGATTAATTTACCAATGTGACACTCTTTGTTTTTAGGTATACAAAAAGAAAACTGAAGCTGCCAAGAAGGAATATCTGAAGCAGTTAGCTGCCTACAGAGCAAGCCTTGTATCCAAGGTAACACATAATGTATATACGTACACACATATATATAGTGACATATTGCAAACCATTTTCAGCATTTACATGGTGCTGAGCACCATAGTATTTAGTGCAAATAGCCTTGTTTGTTATCACCTTAAACTTAGGTTTAAGGTGCAAATGCTCAATAAACACAGTCATCTCTCCATGAAAAGATATCCTTTTCCTTCTGGTCATAGAGACTTCTCCAGGCTGAAAATATCATTGCAGTTCAACAGAGGAAGGAGGTACTGGTGAAAAGACCTCAATATCACAAACATGCCATGCCAGGCAGTCACCATTCTACCTATAAGGGAAAAAAACATATCATTACCCAAAATGCCTAGGTTTTGGTTTGTTTTTTTTTTTAAGTACTGCTTTTTACCTTGCAATCACAGTACAGAAAATGTCAAGCTTAGCTCACACAGGAAATTTTCGTAAGAAAGTGTAAATTTCCATTTTACATCCAGCAAGGAATTTGTGTGAGCACAGCATAGGTCACTGTAAGGCTCTTACACTGGAACACAGCAGTGTATCCCCAGTACACAGCTAGTAGCAATTTTCTAAACTATTTGTACAAACATTCTTAATGCCCATAATTTTCTAATAGATGGTTTAAAATTTGTAATAGACTTTAAAATATGCAGAAGACTGTGAAATTACTGCACTGTGTCAATGCGAAAAACCAGTTGAGCAACTTCAGAATCATACCAGTTAGAATCATTTGGTTTGGGTCTGTCAAAACAAATTTAGATGTATTTTGTTCTTACATAAATAAAATTAATTTTAGAGGTAAAGATGGCAGTATGAAGGACTGGCATATATGACATGAGTAGAACTTGCTGTTAGTTTTAAATGTTTTTGGGGTCCTGCACTATATTTCTCTGTATATTATATTAATTTGTACACATTTTCAGGGGAAGACTATATGAGTAGCCGTACAAGGACCTTTCATGCAGCTTTCTACATTATCTTAGTATTTGGTCAGTGTTTGCTCTGAATTTTAAAGTCTGAAATATGGGTGTCACCTCATTCATTTTTGGGGGTTGTGTCTTATGCATTTTAATTTTACAGCTACCATCATAAATACTAATGCATTTAGTTAAAGTGATTTACAGGGTACCTTCAATTTCTGTCTTAGGGCTGTTTGGTTCTGGAAATACTCATTGCCTTCAGAAATGGTATCACATGCCCACAAACAATATTTTTTTAAATAGCCTGCTTATTGCCAAACAATAGGTCTAAAAAGCTCAAAATATTCCAGTAGGTTTTGAAGAAATGCATGAAGCTAACTTTTCACTTGTGAAAATAACTTGGATGTCATTATTCAGCACATCATGGACTGTTTACATAACACTCTATATAGCTTAATTTTGAAATGGCACATAAAAAAACTGAGATTTTTGTTTTGGTTTTATTTTTTTGCAAAGAGAAAAAAGTATATTATGGCACTTTCTGAGGTTCGTTTTTAGAAAAAAGATTGTTGATCAGTCAGTGCATGAAGCCATTTGTGCATATATTTAAATTTGTTGTTAGTCAGAAAAGCACTGAAGCATTTTCTTAACTTTTAAGCGATTATTTAAATTCTGCCCATAATGTAATGTTTTCCTCTAGTGTGGAAAGTATCAAAGTATAAACTTAATGAATCTGAGTACTAATTGCTTACTCTCATGAACACGCTCAATGAATCCAACAGAGCTGGCATGTAACTAAAGCAAGACCATTTTGGAATAAGTATGTAAAATACCCAGATGTAATATTATATCAGTATATCCTAAATCATCATTATTTAATATTTATATGGCACCAGAAGACTTGTAGTTCTTCAGACAAGTATGTAAGCATGAAGAAATATATATAATACATTATTAAGATTGTTTGGAGTCCATCTAGTCTTTTATGCCCATGTGTTGTATTATCATCCATAAAAGCTACTTTTAGAGAATATTATTAAGATTCCAAGACCTCATTCTCAAAAGTTAAGACATGCCAAAAGTAACATACCTTTTCCAAAAATGCTTTAATACAATAGTAATAATTTCCTCACATTGTACGTTTTATACTTTATACCGCACTCTGTGTGAGTCTCATTTCAGATGCTTATAATCAGGTGTTCACCCTGGGAGCTCCTGTGTTGTATTTACTGCATGTTGTTTAACCTTGCTTCTTTATAGGATTTTCTGTGCTGCTTATCCCAGCAGTGTTTTAGTGTAAAGAAATTCTCAGTAATACGCTGGAGCAGGAAGTTTGTATTGTCCATATTTTCAAACACAACTAAATAGTTGTGAAATCAGGTTTTCAGTAATTTTGGGTGTCCTGCTTGAGACATCTAGAACTTCATTTTTCAGAGTATTTGACCAATATTACCCCCTTCATGTTCATAGCAGAGCTCCAGTGACTTAAGGGTCAGCTGGCTGGCAGCTATGAGATGTTCAATTGTGCTTCACATCACATCAGGACATCCTCTTGCTATCCAAATGATAGGAGCTAACCAATTATCAAACTTTCTTCCTTCTCCCCTCCCATAGGACTCTGCCTGTGGGAAGAGGCAGGCACAGACAGGCAAGGGTGCTGCTCAGGTCCCCTGTCTCCAGCTCAGCAGGTTCCTCACACCTCCCAGAGCAGCTGCTCTATGAGTTTCCTAACTTTTGAACACTGATTCTGCCACTTTTTTCATGAACTACTTCCAGTTTTTAAACAACTAGTGAGTGTAGGGCTTGTATGTGAGTGTTTGTGTATGGTTTTTTGCTTTTATTTGCAAGCCTTCATTTTTCTGAAAAGCAAAGGAATGGACATATGCCATGTTATAGCTGAGTTGACCAGACTTGGAGTTGAATTCACTGTACCCATCTTGGCCATTTGAGATGCTGGAATAGCCAGAATAGAACATTGCAGAGAAATGCGGTACATCTCCTTTTGCCAGGGGATTTCTTAGCCTCTGCCTGATAGCAGAATAATGAAATTCAGGGACATTGGTTTCCATCCCAAGCTCTGGGGTGGGAGTGGAGTATCAGTTGGGGATGGTGGGCTTCTCCATGATACTCAGCCCTTTGCCCCCTTTGCTCTGCTTCTTCCCCTTCCCCTTCCCCTTCCCCTTCCCCTTCCCCTTC